CTGTTTTGCCTGCTGTTAGGTGTCTGGTGTCTGCTGCTCGGCTTCATATTTGCAAATAAAACCAATGTTACAACCAACTCTTGTCCAAAGGAAACTAAATTCCTTTTAGTGCTGCGTCTGGATTTCTCACTCTTTGCTCAGAGAAACTGGGAAGTACTTAATAGGCTAGTGCCATCATTTTCATTACAAGACACAATAAAGTGAGGAAGAAGAGAGTTGGTACTTGGTTTTATACCCCGCTCTTCACTACCCAAAGGTGTAGAGTGGCTTACAATCATGCTCCCTTCCTCTCCCCACAACAGACACCCTCTGAAGTAGGTGGGGCTGAGAGAGTTCTCAGAGAACTGTGACTGACTCAAGGTCACCCAGCTGGCTCCATGTGGAGAAATGGAAAATCAAACCCAGTTCTCCAGATTAAGAGTCTGCCATTCTTAACCACACTAAACATTTGCATCATTGCGTCATGTAGTGTTGTGCAGCACACAGACAGCATTGTGTAGTGGCTAGAGTGTTGTACTAATATCTGGGAGACCCAATTTGGAATCCCCAGTCTACCATGGACACTTGCTGGGTGACCCTGGACTAGTTGCATGCTCTCAGCCTTACCTACCTCACAGGGTTGTTGTGAGGATACAATGGGATGAGGAGAACAATGGTCCCAAAGGCAAGATACAAATGAAGTAAATAATAAATAAATACAATGTGTAAGGCAAGTAACCCTAGCTTTTGACTGTTATACCTTTAACAAACAAACCATTAATGCTTACCTCTGTAATGGCACAACAGGGAACTGGGAAATTTATTACAGGTTAGCAAAGATAATTATAGAAAGTAGCAATTAAAAAGAAGTCTACTGGAATCTTAAAGACTACAACATCACCTTTCGTGAATCAGAGCTCACTTCATGAATCAGATGAATAAAGTGTACATCCTCTACAGTTATTAATACTTAAAGAGATAAACAGAAAGACAGTACCAGATCAGGGATTAAAATCCAGACAAGATCTGCACCCAGTTTTGCTCAGTTTTGACACAGTAGTTTGTTCTTTAATGACTTTGATGTACAATATGACAGGGACAGGCAACAGTAATGGGAAGCCCTTGTAAAACATTTCTGACCTGCACGGCCCTCATCAACATCATATGTTGACATGGAGTTGCTGGGCAGACAGTTATATCCTCTTTGAAACTTCCCATTCAATATGCAGAACCTTATGTAGTTGGCACTTCTTTGTCTGCCCCTCCCCACCAGTTCAAAAGCTTAATCATTTCTGTTACACGACTTTGCACAACCATACAAATTAATTAAAAGTCTGAAAGACAGTGTGTATCATTAGCACTGTAGCCCTACGCAGAGTTGCACCTTCTAAGCCGCCTGTAATACAGCATAGTTTTGCATTCCAAGTATTGTTTCCGCTCATGTACAGTCTTCATCTGTGGTCTTTCAAAGGCACAGGCGGGGGAGTTAAGATGTGCATGATCTATGTATGAGTACAACTCCTCCGTGTAGTTTTCTTCTAATATTAGCACAACAGGTTACTGATATAGGGAAGAGAGTAGAGGAAAAAGGGAATCCAGTGCCTGGCAGTTTCCCTGCACTCAGAAAGCCAAGGCTTCCTCCTGAGAATTATTCACACATGCACATAAAGGTCCAGGGAAATCCATGTATGATTTACATTCTTTCTGTGACCTGCAAGTGTCTCACTCTTTCTTTTGTGCCTGAAGGTGTATGAGGGCAAAACTCTGACTTCATGTTCCAGGAGCCAGAGAAACCATGTCAGAGGTAAGCTGCCCTGTTCGAGTACCAACTTCCCTCAGGAACGATACAAAACATTGTCCAAGCCTCTTGTCCCAGATATTTCTCCTTTTAACATCTGGGTTCTTTACTTTTCTCTCTCTCTCTGAACAGCGTCTCCTTGAGTTCTGCACTATCAACCCCCCTTTTCCTGAATGGGGTAGGAGAGATGGGGACAAAATGATGTGGGGGGGGGGCGAAGACAGAACAAATGCCTCTTTTTCTGCCATGCTCTGTACCTTTTGGACAGCAGTGGATTGTTAAAAAACATGAATTGAGGCTGTAACTCTTTATAACTTTGTTTGGAAGGAAGCCTCACTGAACTCAGTATGCAGTCCATGGCTGCGATCCTAAACACACTTCCTCACAAGAAGTTCCACTGAACTCAGCAGAGGTTAAGTCTGTGTAAAGCAAATAATGGCCCTATACAGACTTTTGGAAAGGTTTTTATAAACCAAATGTACCAGATCAAGAGAACACACTGGTCATAGCGAACACCCTTTTCCAACAACCTAAGAGGCGACTCTACACATGGACATCACCAGATGGGCAACACCGAAATCAGATTGACTATATAATTTGCAGTCAAAGATGGAGAAGCTCTATCCAGTCAGTAAAAACAAGACCTGGAGCTGACTGTGGTTCAGATCATGAGCTACTCATTGCAAAATTCAGACTTAAACTGAAGAAAATCGGGAAAACCACGAGGCCATTCAGGTTTGACCTAGATCACATCCCTGATGAATATACAGTAGAGGTGAAGAATAGATTCAAGGGTCTGGATTTGATAGATAGAGTGCCTGAAGAACTATGGACGGAGGTTCGTGACATTGTACAGGAGGCAGCAATCACCACCATACCAAAGAAAAAGAAATGCAAGAAAGCAAAATGGCTTTCTGATGAGGCTTTACAAATAGCAGAGGAAAGAAGGAAAGCGAAAGGCAAAGGCGAAAAGGAAAGATTTACCCAACTGAACGCAGATTTCCAGAGAACAGCAAGGAGAGATAAGGAGGCCTTCCTGAATGAACAGTGCAAAGTAATAGAAGAAAACAATAGAATGGGAAGGACTAGAGATCTCTTCAAGAAAGTTGGAGAAATCAAGGGAGCGTTCCATGCAAAGCTGGCCATGATAAAGGACAAAAACGGTAGGGACCTAACAGAAGCAGAAGAGATTAGGAAAAGATGGCAAGAATACACAGAAGAACTATACAAGAAAGACCTCGATGTCCTTGACAACCACGACGGTATAATCACTGACCTCGAGCCAGACATCCTGGAATGTGAAGTTAAATGGGCCTTAGAAAGCATTGCTAACAACAAAGCTAGTGGAGGTGATGGTATTCCAGCTGAGCTATTCAAAGTCTTAGAAGATGATGCTGTTAAAGTGCTGCACTCCATTTGCCAGCAAATTTGGAAAACGCAACAGTGGCCACAGGATTGGAAAAGGTCAGTATACATTCCAATCCCAAAGAAGGGCAATGCCAAGGAATGTTCAAACTATCGCACAATTGCACTCATATCACACGCTAGCAAGGTCATGCTCAAGATCCTACAAGCTAGGCTTCAACAGTACGTGGATAGAGAACTACCAGAAGTACAAGCTGGGTTTCGAAGAGGTAGAGGAACTAGAGATCAAATTGCCAACATTCGCTGGATTATGGAGAAAGCAAGAGAGTACCAGAAAAATATCTACTTCTGCTTCATTGACTATGCTAAAGCTTTTGACTGTGTGGATCACAACAAACTATGGCAGGTCCTTAAAGAGATGGGAGTACCAGACCACCTCACATGTCTCTTGAGAAACCTGTATAAGGGCCAAGAAGCGACAGTTAGAACCGGATATGGAACAACTGATTGGTTCAGCATAGGAAAAGGAGTACGACAAGGATGTATATTGTCGCCTTGCTTATTTAATATATATGCAGAGTACATCATGCGAAATGCTGGCCTGGATGAATCACAAGCGGGAATTAAGATTGCTGGGGAAAAGATCAACAACCTCAGATATGCAGATGATACCACTCTAATGGCTGAAAGTGAAAAGGATCTAAAGAGCCTCTTGCTCAGAGTAAAAGAGGAGAGCGCAAAAGTGGGCTTGAAGCTCAACATCAAAAAAACTAAGATCATGGCATCCGGCCCCATCACTCCTTGGCAAATAGAAGGGGAAGCTGTGGAAGTAGTGACAGACTTCACGTTCCTGGGATCCCAGATCACCGCAGACTGTGACTGCAGCCATGAAATTAAAAGACGCCTGCTCCTTGGGAGGAAAGCGATGGCGAACCTAAACAGCATGATAAAAAGTAGAGACATCACCCTGCCAACAAAAGTCCGCATGGTCAAAGCAATGGTATTCCCAGTAGTCGTGTATGGCTGTGAGAGTTGGACTATAAGGAAGGCCGAGCGCCGAAGAATAGATTCTTTTGAACTATGGTGCTGGAGAAGACTCTTGAGAGTCCCTTGGACTGCAAGAAGAACAAATCAGTCAATCCTCAAAGAAATCAACCCTGACTGTTCCCTGGAAGGCCAGATAATGAAACTGAAGCTCAAATACTTTGGCCACCAAATGAGAAGGGAGCACTCACTGGAAAAGACCCTGATGCTGGGAAAGATTGAAGGTCAAAGAAGACGGGGACGGCAAAGGATGAGATGGTTAGACAGTGTCAGCGATGCAACGAACATGAAATTGAGCCAACTTCGGAGGACGGCGGAAGACAGGAGAGCCTGGCGGGAGATTGTCCATGGGGTCGCGAAGAGTCGGACTCGACTGTGCGACTGAACAACAACAACCAGATCTTAACCGACGGTCAGGGGAGAGGAACCAGAGAACGGGGTGCAAGCACAGCCTCTTCCCCCTGCCACCATCTGTGGGTAGAAGTGGGACCTGCTGATGCACTCTTTCTAGACTCTCTCCCATCTTAGACAAGAAGGTTTCGTTTCAACCAGGGCTCCGCGGAGAGGTTTAGCTTCTACACTAGGCTTCATCTCGGGAATAAACAAAAGCCAAAACAAAAAGACTGCCTCTGAGGCTGAGCCCTAACAGAGAAGAACAGAGAGACCCACGAAGATGACATCCCATGCAGCATCTGGAGTCAGGAAGGAAGGCTCAACGGCGCGGCTTCTAAGCAGGCCGACTCCTCGCCGCAACCTGCCCTCCACCCAGAACCGTCGCAAAAAGAAATTGCGCACACAGCACAACGAGACATACCTTGCATGGGCACTCCCACTTCACTGCCTGCTGGTGGACTTCGTCCCAGCCTGTCCCTTCCAGCAGAGATGCTTTTCTTGCTTCCAGCCAGCAAACTCTCCCCTCTCTTTGTCCCTTTCTCTCTAAAGATCATCAGTATCAGCTCCTGCTTAAAAACCTGCAGCAGCCGCGGGGCGGGGCCGGGCCGGCACCGTGGTCTCTCGGAGGCGGGGCCAAGAAAGCCACCAGAGGCAGGGGGGGGGGGGGGGGGGGGGGGAGGCAGACTTGGAGAGAAGAAGGGACGCAGGAATGAGGAAATCATTTCTGGTGAAGTCAACCAGGAGTCAGCTATTCATGACTTCACGGCAATGTTTCTCCACAGAGACTTTTCAAGGCAACAGAATTCACGAGGGACTGTTAATTTTGGGAAGACGGGGGACGGGGGGACGGGGGGACGGGACAGAGCTAAAGGAGACAAGCGATTAAGAGACGAATTATGTGCAGTGGGGAGAAATAAATGTTTTGCCTGCTTTCAAACACTAGAATTTGCTGTCAATCAGTCAAACGGACTGACAATCAAATTCAGGCAGACAAAAGGAAAGACTTCTTCAGCCAGTGCGTTTGCTGCCCCAAGGGGAGGCAATGGCCACTAACTTATCAAAGAAATGAGACAAGTTCCTGGATAGGACTCTTCAATAGCTACTAAGATATGAAAGCTAGGTGGAGCCTCCATGTTCAGAGACAGTGTACCTCTGAATAACAGATGCAAGGGGGAGGACAACAGTTACCTTCATACCCAGCTTTGGAACTTCTCAGAAGCATCTGGGCTGGCCAGAGTTGAAAAATGATTGCTGGACTAAATTAACCTTTGGTCTTTTCCAGAAAGGTAATATTTTAAAGAGTGACAGAGTTGGGAAGCAGGCACGGCTACCTTACATGGCCCAGTCCACCACAAAGTTTTCTAATGGGAGCTGCACACAACCAGAAAACATGCTCTTGCATAGCCACTCTTCATTTAAATGGGGCACTGTGAGAGCCAGCATAGTGTAGTGGTAAAAGCACTGGACTCTAATCTGGAGAACTGGGTTTGATTCCCCACTCCTCCACATGAAGCCTGCTGGGTGTCCTTGGGCCAGTCACAATTCTCTCAGAACTCCCTCAGCCCCACTTACCTCGCAGGTGGCTATTGTGGGGAGAGAAGGGAAAGGTGATTGTAAGCTGCTTTGAGACTCCTTAGTGTAGAGAAAAGTGGGGTATAAAAACCAACTTTCTTTTTTTATAAATGGATTTTATTAACATAATAAAGATTTAACAACTTGAAATATTACAACAGTAATGATATGTGAACTTGAACATGAATACAAAAAACTAGGTATAACTATAGAACAGGTATGATGTCATATGTGGTGTTAAATACATATAAGAATACATATATTCAACCTTACAATAAGTAATTATGACATAGCAAGGTGTTATAGAACATATTTAATATCATATTACAAACAGGAAAAATCATATTTGCTCCAATATTGTATGAGATCCAACTTAAATAAAGGTGTTAATTTAGGTTTGGAGCAGAAAAACATAAAGATTATGATATGTAAATATAGATCCACATTATGTGAGTCATAAATAAAGAGAACAGAAAGCAAGGTATTACTCAGTTTTGGCATGAATTTCTTGAGAAGGTGTAGGTTACAAAGAATATTTTTAAATCTTCATGAAAATTTGATATCTATGTGGTACAGCAATAAGGGTGAGAAATAGGATATTCCTTTTGGGCCACTGTTCAGAAGAAATTCTAAGGCATCACATCCATTTGTGTATTTGAGACCATTCAGAAGAAATGAATTGGTTTCAAAACAGGAAGTCTAAAATCAGAAACCACTTGTTGTCAAAGTTGGAACATTTTGGATTGTGTAGAGTGTGACATAGTCTACCAGTGACATAGTCCATAAGGTAGTGATCCATTTGTTAGTGAATTTTGATTCCAGAGATAGACAGGTTAGACCTGATTGCAGTGGCTGGAGGGGCACTGGAGAGCCAGTTTGGTGTAGTGGTTAAGTGGGCAGACTCTAATCTGGGAGAACCGGGTTTGGTTCCCCACTCCTCCACTTGCACCTGGCTGGATGACCTTGGGCAAGCCATAGTTCTGATAAGAAACTTGAAAAAGAGCAGTTTCTGTCAGAGCTCTCTCAGCCCTACCTACCTCACAGGGTGTCTGTTGTGGGGAAGGGAAGGGAAAGGAGTTTGCAAACCGCTCTGAGACACCTTTGGTATAAATCCAATCTCTCCTCTTCTTCTTCTACTGCCAGCGCAAAAAGCAGTGGGGATAATGGGCACCCCTGACAAGTGCCCCCCTGTGTAGAGTGATAGGATTAGAGTAAGTGCCATTAATTTTTAGCCTGGTTGTGGGAGAGGTACATAATGCTTTAATTACAGATATAAATCTTTGGCCAAATCCCATAGATTGCAGCAATGAAAAAAGATAAGAAAATTCCACTGAGCCTTTTCGACATCTAATGAGAGGGAAAATTGCAGATTGTTGTGTTTTGTTAGAGTGATTAAATCCCAATTTGAGATGAATCCCCCTTGATCTGGATGTATATAAAGGTATTGAGGTGTTTTGCCAGGGTGGATGTGAAGATTTTGAAGTCTTGGTTGAAGAAGGAGATGGGGCAATAGGATGCTGGGGATAAGGGATCTTTGTCTTTCTTTGGTAGCACTACTGTCAATGCTTGTTGCCAAGAGGAGGATAAATTACCAGAATCCAAAATATAATTGCAGGTAGAAGTTAGGGGACCCACCAATCATGATGCAAAATATTTATAGAATTCAGAGGAGAAGCCGTCCGGTCCAGGCAATTTATTTGGTGTCTTGATAGTGTCAAGAATTTCCTGTTCCAAAAAAGGTTAATCTAGGAAAGATCTGTGTGTATCCTGCAGAGTAAGGTGTGTGTGATGATCTTGTAAGAACAATTGTATAGGTGTCAGGTGAGGAATCGCAGAGAAGTATAATGTCTTGTACTCCTCAAAGACCCGAGCAATGGATTCTGTGTCTGTATGGATGGTTGGTTTCCTGAGTGTTTCTAATAGAAGCAAATGTTTAGAAGCCTTTTGTTCTTTTACGTTGTGTGCCAAGAGGTTCAAGGATCGGGGAATCCTTAGCCAATACTTTTGTTTCGTAAACACTAGCTGTTTTTTAAAAATTGATTGATAATCAGTTAGTAATGAGAATGAATCACCAGAATAAACAATTAATTTTCAATAAAATCAAGACAATTAAAATAGATTATGGAGTATAGTATTCCTTATGTGTGGTAGTTCTCTGAACTCCTGCAGGCAAATGTGTTAGATCGCACTAACAAAGGACTCTTAGAGTGATTCAGCAAGTGATTCAGCTTTATTGGAAGTAACGAACAAGCACTCAACTCAGTAAGAAACCAGAACAGAAAACAGTGGGAGCTTATGCTCCTTTTAAACATAACCGGGCTAATGTAGCCACGCCTATTTACAATTAACAACCAATGAGATTGCTTAGTTAAGGACCAATGGGAGTCTTTCCCTCCTAGGGAATGGTATCGTTCTGATTGGTCGCTGTTACGAAGCGACCAATAGGAAGTTCGCTCAGAGGAGCCCTGGTCTGGCTCGAAGCTTAACATAGGAGTCCTATGAGGAGATTCATGTAATCGTTTCAATACATTACAATTCCTCCCCCCTAAGTTAAGTCATCATCCATTTGTTTTATTATTTACATACATTCAAGCCATGCTGTTGTACATCGACTGTTCCAAAATACTTTATTACAATCATAGTCTTTTAGATAAGTCGGCATCTGCCGCGTACGCTGAGACCTGCGAAGCGGTGCAGGCTCTATGGGCACACAAGGTTGTGAGTCACTGTGGGGTTAACTACAGCCTGGTTCAGGCACAAACTCTACTGGGGTTTCAGCCCCGCACCCAGGGGTCTGCCCTGACTCGGGGACAGTACCGGGCCTTTCGGTACTCACCGCCTGCTCTGGGGGTCTCCACTCAACACACAGAGTCGGATATAACCCCAGGAAGCCATAAGTGCCCGTTTGCATAATTTCGTGCGAAAACCTTGTCCCCTTTTTCAAACATGCGCACCTTCGGTTGCGCCGTGGTACGCTCGGATTGCTCTTCAGTGAGGTCTGGGTGCATTCGGTTCAAACGGGTCGTGAGTCTCCGCCCCATTAACAATTCGGCCGGACTACGGCCTGTAGCACTACAGGGGGTGGTGTGCTGCAGCAAAAGAAAGGAGCCCAGCCTCTGGCTCCAGTCCCCTTCGTCCATTTTACCCAGGGCCTCTTTGGCCGTCCTGACCATCCGTTCGGCTTGGCCATTAGATGCCGGATGGAAAGGGGCCGAAGTCATTTGGCGTATGCCATTACTCGTGAGGAAGAGCCTAAATTCCTCAGACACAAATTGAGGCCCGTTGTCACTGACGATGACGTCAGGCAACCCGTGGGTGGCAAAAAGTCGGCGGAGCGCATGGATCACAGCAAGTGATGTGGTCGATTTCATATGCACGACCTCCAGCCATTTGGACATAGCGTCCACCACAATTAGGAACATTTGCCCTTGGAGAGGGCCAGCAAAATCTATATGCAATCTGGCCCAGGGTTTACCAGATGACTCCCAGCCTTGGGGTGTAGCTTGTGGGGGATCGGGTCTGACTTGCTGGCATTTGGGACACCCTCGTACCCATTCTTCGATCTCTTTGTCCAGCCCCGGCCACCAGACATACCCTCTGGCCAACGCTTTGGTGTGTACCATACCGGGGTGACCCTCGTGCAGCGACTCTAACACTCTCGTCCTGAGTTTGTCAGGAACCACCACCCTGTTCCCCCATAATACACAGCCCTTAGAAATGGATAGTTCATTTTGACGGCTTTTGTAAGGGCCGAACTCCGGTTCAACGCTTCCAACCGGCCACCCCCTCCAAACCCAGTTTAATACTCGGGACAGCACGCTATCCTTGGCCGTGTGTGCTGCAATGTCCCTGGATGATACCGGGGGTCGAGGAAGCTCCTCAATTGCCAAGACCTCACAGGCGGGGGCAGGGTCTGCGCCAATGTCCGGCACCGGGCACCGGCTGAGGGCATCC